GGGGAGGCAGTGGCTTAACCTCGCCCCGGCCTCAGGGCAGAAGGAGGTGGAGGAACTGACAGCAGAGGCTGGGAGCCTGATGGGGGCTGCTGCCATTCAGAAGAGCCTGGTCTAAACTGCTACTGGGATGGGCTAGGAGCACGAGGGAGGACGAAAGGCTGAGAAGGAGGCAGCATCTGAGACAAGAGGCTGTGTAGGCTTCTCCTGCTGCACAACAGATTCCCTTAGTGGCAAAAATAATTACCCCTCATTCAACCTCTGACACCACACAAAGGACCTGAAATGCCACTAAACCAACCACCAGGGGTGACAGATGCCGAGGTGTCCCAGGCTGGAGATAGAGATGCAGCTGGACAGCTCCACGGGGTGAGGTGACTTCTATCTACCAAAGGAGAAAGAAGGGGGCCAATGGGCTGGGTCAGGGCTAAGAGGACCAAGAGGTAGAGGACTGGTTGCCATGACTACAGGAGAAGCAGAGAAGAAAGGAGCGCTGCTTGGTCCTCTGCAGAGTCCTGTCCTCGGGTGTAAGCAGTGACAGCCCGCGGCGCTTGGTTCACGCCCTTGCAGCAGAGAACGCTTGTCTTGACCGCCTCGATGGTCCTGTCCTCCCTCCTTTCTGGCACTGGTGACCAGAGACTCCTCTGCCTTCCATTTGTACTCACAGCATGCGCTGGGCAGCTGTGGGCTGAGTTCCCTCCTCACAGGGCTCTGACTTCGAGCAGCCACTGTGAGTCATGTTAGAAGCCAGCCTGGAGGTACCCAGCTGGAGGGCACCCCACAGCTGGCCAAGCCAGGCCCGGCAGTACCGCTGTCGCTCTGGATCACACTGGATCGCACAGGCCATCTCTGAAGGGTCAAGAGAAGGAGCCAGGTCCCCATAGCACCTGCCTGCCTCGGGGCCGCTGTCACCTCCTGTCTTCCATCTGTGAAGCCTCTTTCCCACAGCCCCTCCCGTGGGCCAGCCCCAGAGTGCCAGCATGGGGTAGAAGCTAATGTTTGTGACTCCCATGGGCCACTCTCCATAGGCTGGCAGCAGCGCCTGTGCCGTCCCTCCAGGTGGGTGTTCTTTGTCCTGAAACATAGACGTCCTAAATCTCGGGTGACAGAGTCAAAACACAGTGAGCTCTGTCTCTCCACAGCCCACACTCTTTCCAGACACCACCCTGCCTCCCAGGATGGGAGCCAGTCCTCGGCCCACCCAGCTGCCACGCTTGCCCAGTCCTTCCCGATGCCCCACGGGCTTCCTGCCCATTCTCTACTGAAACTTCTGGTGTTTTCCATCAGTGGAATTCTGATGGTCTGGGTGCCACACACTGAGCTGGATCCCCCTTTCCCTGGGTTTTCCTACTGCAGGCTGCCATAGGCTGGACACATTGCCACTCTAGGTCACTCTAGATCACACAGTGGCCTCCTCCACCACCACAATGGTAAGGTTGTTAGGCCAAGATCTGATCTCAAGTCTTGTGTTCCCTTGAAGCCTTGGTCAAGGGTGGCCAGGCAGCAGAGGCAATGTTGTTCCCAAGCAAAGATAATGGATAAAGAAATAAAGAGAGAGGTGGGCCTGTGGAGTGTGGCTGGTGTGTGTGTGTGTGTGTGTGTGTGTGTGTGTGTGTGTGTGTGTGTGTTGACTTGGAGGAACAGGTGTTAAAGCAGACTGGGATGGGAGTTTGCTGTGAGTTCTCAGTGGAGAAGCACCAAGAACATCAAGAAGGAGCCAGGAAGCAGGAAGTTTGCCCAGAGTGTGAACAGACTTCAAGACTTCAGTGCAGAGAGGCCAGTCCCTCCCACCGATGTCCAGCTGCCACCCCCGTGACTACCCCTATGGGAAGGACATTTCCTCTCTTCTTGGAGCCCAGAATGTTTATGTCTCACACCCTTAGTTTTGGGAGGTTCTGCCTTGTGTGTGACTTCTGCTCCCCGTCTACATAACTAATATGGTATATATGCTTATTCCCCATATCAGCTGAAGCCTGCCTCTCCCCAAGAGTCCTCAGCTCTTGGCCTTCACTGGGCCTAAAGTTTCAGGTCCTGTGAATCAGTCCTCTGGGGTCCCTCATTCAGCATCACCTTCTCCCGGACCCAGCTCAAGGAGAGATGACTTCCTCAAGGCCAGATCTCTTTTTGTCCTCTTCACTCTTGACCAGGATAAAACCACAGCCATGGCTGGACCAATGGACAGTGAGAGAGGCTGCTGTAGACCCGCCAATGCATGGAACACGAAATAGACATCCGTGAGAAAGACGATCTAGGTGTGATTCCATCCCTGAGAGGGAAGATGTGCCGCCCTTACTGGGCCATGAATTTTTTCCTTGAAGACTTTGAGGGGCTTGGGAGCCAGCCAAATCAACATGGAGGGCCTCTGGGTCACTGTGGAAAATCCCCCGAACAGTTAAAAGATGGATGAATCATGCATGGGATTTCCCTGATGCTGGATGGGGCAGCGTGGGGGTTGGTTAGGAAGGGTCCTTCTCCATCCTCTACCTAAGCGCACGGGAGTGTTAGGATGAGGAGCCCACATTGGCTGAGGCAGGTTCCTAAAAGGTTAGCTGGGACACCACACCCTCTGAAGCCGCAAAGGCCAAGCCGGCCCCTTTGCACACTAGATAAGTCAAACCAACCCCAGGAGCTCCTTAACCCTGATCAAGGGTAACCAAAGGACTCTTCTCAGTTGAGTGACTGAATGCAGCGGGGCCGGCACCCTTTGAACGTCATTCACTGTCCTGGGTAGCACTGCCATCCCTGAGCACCTTCCCCAGCCTGACCAGGTGTGCAGGGAACAGTGGGAGCCAGTCCCAGGGGGCTCCGGGCCAATGCAGACAGATGCTGAGTCTGCCATAGACTAGGGGCTCAAACACAGTGCTGAGGCAGCTTTTTATATTGCTAAAATGGGACTCAAAACACAATCATTTCTTAAAGGGGACAAGTAATAACTACTTCAGAGAGAAAGCCACTTCACTTTCTTGGGTGTGTGTAAAGGGAGCAGAGTTATCTGTGTGGCACAGCACTGGACTTGATTTCCTTAGTGTCCGAGACTCACGTAAAGTGACCGAGTGTGTGCGCTGCCTTAGCTGTGCTGTGTCGCATACGTACCCCATTGTCCTCTACACACCGGGGACAGGACGGCACTGACAACCATATCATGTGTGGGAAGCTGTAAAAAGGTTAGGGTAGGAGAAGCACGCAGAAGAAGAGCAAAAGCTGGTGATGCCAGGAGCAACGGTGTTTTGAGGACAGAGTCAGTGTGAGGGAGGGCTGGGGCTCTGGACCCTGATGCTTCAGGGCCACCCCCTCACCAAGCCCACTGGTTTTCCTGTTTCACTTTCCTCCTCTGCTGTAGTGAGGATGGCAACAGTAATGGTAATAACAGTCATTGCTGTTTCCTAGAGTAGCTGT